CGGTCACACTTGCCGAGGTTACAAGTTTTTGGCGCCGTTTTCGGTGTTCAGAAATTTGTCATCACCAGTCTAAAGCCTCTCCCCTTAATGACAAGGAAAAGACCTGACACCATAGCATGTCATTCAACGAGTACACTACCATCGCATCTACAAAAGAGCGCAGATGTTTCTCGGGGTCAGATGTCCCATTGTATCTATCCATTGATGGTAACATCTTAATCTCCGGCATAATCGCCCTCATTACCGCTGTAGTAAAAGGATGGAGTCCCTCTGCACGGTCAAGGCGCTCAATGAGTGGTAAATGACTCCCTGGGTTCACTTTTTTTGCTCGGCGGCCCACATTCTGAGAATTCCCCCTGACATCGTTTGCCTCTGGCCTTCCACCCGTGTCTTGGACGGTATGGCTACTCTCTCCTCTATCCTCCTCACCCATACCCCTTGCATCGTTATTTACCGACTGTAGGACCGTACGTCCTCCTGGTCCTCTACTCCTCTCAGCTCTCAAAGTCGCTACCTCATCTCTTAGCTCCTGCATTTGTCTTTGCATCTCCTGAAGTACCTGTAGTTGAAGTTGCTCTGCCATTGTGGTTTCTGTAGGTATTTCCTCTACTCTCCTTGGCCCCACGGTGGTCGCCAAATGTTTATGTTTAAAGCGGGTCTGAGGTCTCTGCTCCACTTGCTTGCTCTCTTCCTGTGTAAAATGATTCAGATCTCCTTCCCCAATCGGTTCAACGGAGTGAATTGCAAGGAAACACTCTGACGCTCAAGTTATTGGGGTGTCTTCCAAGGTCTCCTATCAAATCAGAAAATCCAATGTACCTGGTCATTAGTGTTGTATTTATAGGCTTTGTAATCATCCAGCTCATTGGACGTCATTTAATGCCCTTTAATGTAATAAATCTTGTGCCTAATCATTTGCTAACGTCTTTATATCCGGCATAATGTGCCTGATATTACCCATTAATTAGCTATAAATGTCTTTCGCACTAGGGGTTACTTACCTTTAATACACATTAATGCCATTAACTGCCTTCCAATCGGTTATTCACTGCTGCGTTGGTCACCTCCGGTGGATCGCCGTCAACGCCCATTACCGGTCGTCCACCTTATATAGTACATGTACAAAAATGAAAGTATGATGCTAAGATACGCGAAAAGCATGGATAACAAAATTCACAAAAATAATATAATGATAATAATTAAGTGAGAAAAATTTCAATTAAACTTTAGTTTTTCCTTTTATAAATTTATATTAGATTCGACATTTTTAAGTTGGTTTTTTAGAATCTATCTATGATTGAATCATACCATTAAAGAAAAACTTGAATAAGAATATGAAAAATTATACCAAATGTATGTTAAGAAGATACGAAAGATACTTCCTACATACCTATTAAAAGAAAATCTAAACTAATATCATAAGGAAGGAAAGAAACCAAGTTATACTGTTTAAAATATATATTTATCAATAATAATTATATGTTTGTAGATGGTTCAACACATGCAAGTGAAGAAATGTGTCTCTTGATACTTGTGAGTGAACAGAGGCTGTATCCACAGAAAGACAACCATGCAAGCAAGAGTTCTGCCAATCGATTCTACCCTTTTACTTTTAACCAAAAATAAAGAGAAAGTTTTGGACAAAGGTGTTGTAAATTATTTCACTACCATTTTAAACAATTACTTTACTCTGTGTCATTATTTTGATGACAAAAGGAAGAAGACACGGTGGAATAACATAAGGTAATAAAGGGTTCATAAAGATAATTGATGTTATGAGGTAAACGTTGCTAATGAAAAACGATAGATGTTGATTGGTGAGTGTGTGCATGAGACAGGGATGTTAACTCTCTCGCAGATTGAACTTTCAAAATTTGATCTGTTTTTCTTTCTTTAGCCTTTATCTGCCGACAAAAACTCTGAGGACCATAAAGAGAGAGTGTTGAGTAGTGTGACATGTAACACCATTTTCAAACACTTCACTTTGTTTCTCTCTTTTTTCTTCTTCTTCTTCTTGCTAATCTTCTCAGCTTCACTCTCTTGCTCATGGACATGGATGTTTGCAGAAATGTATCAGTTTCTAGTGAGTGTCAGCAAGAGCTTCCCACCCTTGATGACCTTTTCTCACATCAGAACATGGTTAGTGTGTTTGGCCTATTCATTCCACCTTTCTATTTTGCTGCTTTTGGCACTTGTTTGATAAAGTTTTCTTGCCTTGCTTCCTTTTTCCTAGTTTTAACACATGGATTTTCCTTCTAGACCACTCCCCTTTTGATTTTAGTGCTGAGGGAGAAATTCTTTTGTGTGAATACAGTGTTTTAAGGTTAATCTGTTGACTTGGTTCATTCCTTTTAACTTTGAGTCTTGTATGAGGAAACTGGTTTGGGGGTGGTTTATCAGAGCAAGTTTTTGTGGCAATTTTGCGCTGAAAGGGTGACAGAACTCTTCTTCTAGAACCACAACTTCACTTTTATGCATATATAGAGACTAAAATTGATGACTTTTCCATGGACTGAAGAAACAAACTAATCAAGTTTCAATATTTGTTGGTGTGTATGTATGTGCTTGATGCTGTGTTATGTGATTGTACCAACTAAACTGATCTGTTTTCTGGAACCTAAAATGTGAGCAGGAAGAGGATTTTGGCATGGAATGGTTGTCTGTGTTTGTGGAAGACTGTTTTTCCAGTAAGCCAAGTTGCCTCTTGGCACCCCCTGGTGTTGAAACCACGAGCCCTAGCACCAAGCCTTCAAGCACAATGCAAAGACCCCAACAAAGTTACTGTCCTCTGCAGAATTTTTCTGTGCCAGGGAAAGCCAGGAGCAAGAGGAAGAGGCTATCAGCACCAAGGACAAAACACACTCTAAGCACTTGGTCAAATAATTTCAGTACTCAAGTGTTGAGTTCTGACCCTCCTCTCTTGAAACAAGCCTATTGGTTGGCTGATAGTGAACTCATTGTCCCAAAGAAGAAGGATGAGCAAGAAGTGAAAGTGGATATTGTGGTTAGGAAGGAGAAACTGGGGGAGTATTGTGATGAGGGTGAAGTGAACAATAGTAGTAATAATAATAATGGGCAGCACCCAATTCCAAGAAGGTGCACACATTGTCTGGCTCAGAGGACCCCACAGTGGAGGGCAGGACCATTGGGTCCAAAGACACTATGCAATGCATGTGGTGTGAGGTACAAGTCTGGAAGGTTGTTGCCCGAATATAGGCCAGCCAAGAGCCCTACTTTTGTTAGCTATTTGCATTCAAATTCACACAAGAGAGTCATGGAGATGAGAATGAGTGTTCTATCTACTCAGAAGTAGTGAAGTGATTTTACTGCATACTTTTTATGTACAACCAAACTTCAAAATCAAGGAACAGATTATTTGGAAACAGATATTATGAGCCATATGAAGCACACTTTCAAAAGTACTGAAACAAGTGCAGATTATAGCTTGCAATATGCAAGGAAAGGAAGAACTTCTGTTTTTTCATTTCCCCATTTTTACTCAAATCATGGTTTGTGATTTTAAATTATGTTGAAATATTATTCAACTGTTGTTTTGCTAAATCTGTCACAACCCATTTATCCAAACTTATACACTACAGATTGCAATGCAATTCAAAATCCAAAGTTCAAAACCAGTTATCCATGTTATACAATTCAGAATCCAAAGTTCAAAACCAGTTATCCATGTTATATACCATTCAAAACATGTTATATAAGCCTTTTGCTCTTACCTTTTTCTTCTTTAGACACACATTGGTGGCTTATTGGATTTTTCAATATTGCTCCATTTTTCTGATTTGTCTTTTTGTGCTTTGAAATTTCCTTGTCAATGTCACGAATTTTGTTCCACTTGGTATCATATGCTTTCACTATAAGCACGTGAGAGAGCTATTTGTTTGAAATTTGAACTTTGCAGTTGGCATGCACTACCTTCCTCCATTATAATATGCTCGTGACTTTTATTTTCACTATACTTTCATCAAAGAATAAGAGGAACAAAATTATAGCGTTTATTTATGTTTTTCTTTGTTTTCCTTTAGGTTTTTAATTACTAAACTGCCACTTTGTTTTCTCTTTAATTTTGCTTTACTAATATTTATACAGAAAACACTGAAAATGACATTTGTTTGTTTTCTGTGTCCTTTTACGAATGTTTGAAAAGAAAAGAAAATAAGGTATAAGTTTTATAAGTAAAATCACAAGTTTATAACTTTATTTCTAAACACTCCACTAGTTAGTGTATTGATTTTCCAGTTAAAACATTCTCTTCTTTTATTATAAGCACTTTGCTTTTAAATAGTACATTTGATTCTAGCATCTAATAATTTAAGAGCTTATTCATGAAAAGTAAAATAAAGAATTCTTGTGGTTAACGAAGAAGTAAGAGTTGACGCCTCTACAAATTTATAATCTTTTATTCATGTAGTTGTCGGTTGATTTTTGTATTATCAATGAAACTGATTTATTTTGATGACACCATTTATATATAATATCATGGTATTTCACAGACACATGTGAAGACAGCTGAATTAGATCACAGAAGAGAAAGTCAAATGCATTTTACTTAAGACTTAAAAAGCAACTTTTTCCATCTTATCGGTGAAAAAGTTCTTGAGTAAATGAATGTTCAAACATTCAGAATATCTCAAGTACAATAACTCATGATCACATGTATGTGTATAGTTCCTACTACCTATAACAATAATGATAATAATATTAATAATGATGTATGTACAAGACCCTACAACATTAAAATCAAGGGTAGAAGAGTGATTGATAAGAAAGCTACTATTGATGGCCTCAAAGAAGGGGAAAGGGAAGGATTTATCTGAACAATAAAGTTGCAAGTTGGTGTTGAAATGTTGCTTGTTGTAAGCCTTGCCAAACCTTCAAAATTGCAGGCCAAGTCATTCTGATCCTGTGTCTGGTAATATATGTTAAATGCATAAGAGGCATTCCCATTGGCATCCAAGTTGTTGCAAGAAGATCCATATCCAAGTGCAGTGCAATCAGCAAGGGAGCATGCATAGTTTATGTTATCAGCAAGTTTGCTTAGGTTCTGTGCATCAGGGTTGAACATGCACCACTTTGGATCAAGATAGTATACATTTTGAGCACCAACTAGTGACTTGTTTTGGCCTTTTCCAGAAAGGTCCATTGGAAACTTAGGCTTTCCATCATACTTGAAAATTCCCCAATGGCGTTCAAAGTTCCCTGGGGCAATGCTTTTGGCATCCTCATCAATGAGGCCAAAAAGATAAACTTCAATATATTTTGGCCTAAGTGGGGTCCCTCTGTTCAATGCAAGCTTCGGTAGAAGTCCATTGTAGAACCTAAAAGCATTGCCTACATTGGCATTTTTGTCACCATCTGTTGGCCATCCTACCTCTCCTACCAGAATTGGCATGTCTCCATACCCCACTTTTTGGAGGGCAGAGACCAAGGTGTCAAAGTTTGCATCAAAGACATTGGTGTATGAAACCCCATTATCATTTATGGGGTTAGCTACCCCATCAAAGAAGGCATAGTGAAAAGGGAAATTGTCATTCCCATAGAGGCTCAAGAAGGGGTAAATGTTCACTGTAAATGGTGCATTGTTCTTGGCCAAAAATTGCACAATATGAATCATTAGGTCACTTATATCAGGCCTAAACATTCCACCTGATGGAGCAGGGTTGTTTATTGGAGACTCATACACATCAGCATTTAAGGGCACTGTGGCTTTTATGTAGTCTCCTACACCAACTTCATTGAGGGCATTCTGAATGTTCTGTAGTGCAGGGAAGGTGACTTGCATCAATGAGCCATTGTAGGATTTCAAAAATGGCTCGTTCCCAACTGCTACATACCTGTGAAAGAATAAACATGGAGTGAAAAATGAACAAACACTAAGAGTTCATTGGAACTCAAATATAAACAAAACCAATATGCATTCATTATTGATTGGAATCACCTAGTTCAAATCTCAGAATTGAGGAAAAGTTCTCAAGACAGGACAAAAGTTCTATAATTTTTTTTCAAGTGGCAACTCCAATTTCCAATACTAATATTTCATCCTTAGTGGACTTGTCATTTGGAGTTGTAACTTTGTGGAAGATTTTACTGAAATCTTAATCTCAAATTTCTTGAGCAATTGCAAAGGAAAAGAAAACCAAGTTGGAGTAGCACAGAAGTTTTTCTGAAGCTCAAACACAGGCAGAATTTATCCAAAGTTTTTCTCCGCTTCCTTCCATCTTTTCAAGATCAATGTTCTCCATTTATTAAAGATGGGAAAGAAGAAGTGCAATGAGCTTTCTCAAAATTATTTATTTTCAAATAGTAAAGTTCTAAATGATTTTTTAGTCACAAAGGGAATTAGTACTACTGATCTAGCAGTTGAATAAGCCAATTAAAATCACTTGTTTCAAACACTCTCACAAGAAGACACACCACAACTACCAAAAATAAAAAGAATCTATATGCAGAAAAAAGGTACAATTTCAGGTCACTTTTCTGTGTCTCCATTTTAGATCCAGTGAAGGCAAATTTGAATACAGTCACATAGTAACCATCGTTTTAGCCATATGATAAAATGTAGAAAAATTTAAGTTATGTACTAATTTTCGTTAGGAATAAAATTTTATCTCAGTAATGTACTTAATTTTTAAGGTAATTTTTATTATGTGACCTATTAAGTAATAAAATTTCAATTTTGATTGAACAACAATGTAATAAAGATACAAATCAAACAGTTAGAGATGTGTTTTAAATCAAATTTTTTCCAAAACAAAATATCAGTAATCTGTTTTTTTTTTCTTAATCACAAAGAACCTCATATTATGCAAGAATCCAAATTACCAAGCAAAACATGAAATCAAATAAACATTCAGATGGGATTCATTATTCAAACATATTACATAACTTCTTGCCTACATTCCACACTCCCTCAAGATTAAAAGCTCATCTCACATTCACAATAGGAGAAAGAAAATTATTTAACTCACTTGATGTTAACTCCACCCCTGAAGTTGTAACTTGTGACATTCTTCTTCACCCACTGCATGGCACGATCATAGTCATTCATCTCAGATAGTTGGTTATTGGGAATGGCAACCATGACTTCAATCCCTGACCCAGATAGCGCCATCATGCAAGACTCATCTGCATCAAACAGCTTCACCTTTTGAATCCCATTGTCCTTCAACATCTCAACCACAGTGTCTGCTCTCAACTGGTGTGTGGCTTGAGTCCCCCAGTTCACCCCAAGCCCTTCCACACCCCACCAACCCATCACCCCAATCACTGCAAAAACCCATCTCAAAAACCACCCTTTTCCCATCACTCCCGAAAAAACAACAAAAGTGTATTGCTACAAATTATTTGCTATTCAAAGGCTTTTGGGTGATCACAAGATTTGTCTATTCAAAACACTACTTAGGGTGAGAAGTGAAAGTGAGCTCATTTTAGGATGAAAAATCCAGAACACTTTTTCACCCCACCAATGAAGAATAATGAGTTGGTTTAAAAAAAAAACTATTTGCTATGGTTTGCAGTATTTTACCAATCTATATTGAATATGAAGAATGCCAACCCCCAGAAGTTCTTTCTTATAAATACAAGAATCAAGTTTGTTTGTTCCCTACACTTTTCTGACTAAAATAAGTGACAAAATGAGAAAAGTAGAAAAATTTATGAAAAAAAAGGGTTGAATGAAAATCCCTTTAGCTCCCAAAGAAGAAAGACAAGCATTGATTACCTCCGCAACTTTGTTGTGATTCAGGTAAGGTGACACCAGGTTGTGGATCTAGAGAGACTGGTAAAAAACTTATGTTAAAAAGACATTTTCCTGTAATAATAGTCAGTTAACTTGAGAAAGGCTTTGAACTATAAGAGAAAGTGGTAACTGTAAGAAAACATAAATGCAGTTCAATGAATGGAATGAAAATAATGGAAGTTTGAATCAATGCTAAAGAAAGAGGTGAAAGAGAAAGGTGATGCTTTGTTCTGTGTTTGTGTCGGTTTTGGATGAAATATTGATTGTTTGAAGAAAAATTGGAAGTTGATGTTATTTATTGTGTGAAGTGAGAAAGAGTTTTGGACTTTATATTGAAGCAAAGAAGAAAGCAATAAGGTGCAAACTACCTCAACTTCTCACGGTTTCCAAAATTAATTAATTTATTTATTCGAGTTAATAAATGCTCATCGATTCTCGTTTATAAGAATGAAAAACATCTATTATAATAACGTCAAACACTATAACAAATGCTCATCGATTCTCGTTTACATGAATATTATATTTTTCGTGAGAATGTAACACCTGTCTTATTTACATTAAAGATATAATTTTAAAGTAGTGCTAAACCCGAGTTAATTCGGTCAACTGGGTTCGAACCGAGTTTAAAAAAAATAATTTCTTTTATATATGATCAATTTTTAATTCGGCTTATTTAAAATTCGATTCACTCAGATTATACTTGTGATGAGTCAAATTTATTCATCAATCCACCTATTTTAATTTAATTATTTATTATTTTGTGTTTCAATATTATTAGTTAACATTTTTTATTGTATTATAAATAAAGAAAAAGATGTTTTAAGAGAGCAAAATATTATAATTTTATCCATTCAAGATTTTAATATTATAAATAGATAAATGACACAAAAATTATCAATGTTATAAACTTAATTATTCATTTTTAGGTTTGTTTTTGGATTACATTTGAGTTGTATGTTAATTTTTTTATTTTAAATTGTGTTTTCAGTTTTAGAGTGAAATTATTTAAATTTGAATTACAAAAAAATTGTAATTTTTTTGGATTTAAAAAAAAACTTGTAATTAAGTGAGCTAGTGAGCCAA